TCATCGAACCCCTAATCTAAGGTATAATACGAGAGTGTGTTGGGCGGACTCTCCCTGGCCCCAAGCGAGGGGCGAGAAGGAGGAGCCTCGCAAAGACGTCGCGCCCCCTCCCGCGCGGTGGCTTTTTGGCATGCCGATCGCGCGGCACGCCGCGCCGATCGGCTGCACCACGCAGGAGCGACCCTGGGCAGGAGTGGCCTTCTGCGGCGAGCCCAAAGGAGAAGTTGGCTACATGCAGTGCAAGGAGGACTCTACGTCAAATTCGTGTCGTGCCGACTTCGGCGTTGGTTTCTGACACCGCGGGGATCGTTCAACCGTGAACGATCGACCGTTTCCGAAACGTCTAAATCGTTCCACATCGAACGATCCTGGGTCGCCCGCGGCGTTCAAAGTTGAACGCCGCGGGCGGGGTCGCCGCTGGTCGACACGACACGAACCTACTAGGCAAGAGTGACCTTCGGTGCGCGGCTTTCGAAGTGGCGCGGGGTAACCAAACCCGAGCGCGCAAGTTACTGCTCTCGCCTCGCACGCAGCGATCGGGGGACCACAGTTTGCCACTGGGCCCGCAATGAAGGCCACTCTGGCGAAGGGACACACTTACGACGTGCAGTCGAGGAAGGCAGATGGGGGCGGGCCTTCCCAGAAGACTCGGCGGGCCTCCGGCGTGCTGAGACGTGCTCTATCGGACGGGGCTGGGACGATGATACATTCGCTCGAGGGCGTTCCGCAACGCTCCCAGAGCGTTACGGCACGCTCTGAGAGGGCCGCGGCGCCCGGTACATCCTCCAGAGCCGCCGAATGTCAGAGATCCACGATCTATCCTCACTCGATTTGATCCTCGTCCTGGCTACATCCCCAGGCCGAAAGTTTTTCCTCTTGGAATAAAATATGAGAACATCCATGGATCCAATTGGATCCCTTTTTTTCGGGTGTGGGAAAGTTTCGTGGATCCTGTTTCTGTGCTGCGCGGATCCAACTTCCTGTGTGAAAAACGATGGATCCATTGATTTCCCGGGAATATGTATAATAATAATAATAAGCATCCGAGACCCAGGGGAAATCGGATCCGCGGAGCACCGCACGTGAAGCATCATGCTATCCACGGAGCTGTGGATATGCAGACCAATGTTATGATTATACGGGGGAGGGGGGTCTTCCCAGGATGAAGAGGGGAAGGATGAGGGAAGAGGCAAGAGGAGGTGGGAGGAGAACAGAGGGGACGCAGGGGGGGAGAGAGGAGAAATACACAGCGGGCCCGGCCAACTCCCGCATCTCCAACCATAACATATCTACCCCACCTCGAAGAGAGCGCTACATGTATCCGCTCACCTGAACGGCGCGTCGCTTCCGACATGTTAGGCTCAAGAGGAAAAACTTTCGGCCTGCGGAAGTATGTCTGACTCTAGGCCTTCTTCGAAGGCAGAGGCGGCTTCTCAGGAGGCCAGAAGGCTTCGAGGAAGCCCCACCGCCTTCCGAGAAGGCCTGCTCCCACTGACTTTCCCCTGTGCGCGCCGCCGATCTTGGCCAGAGGCCGACCGCCCTGGCGACGGCTAAACTGAGCGGCGAAAGCAATCCATGCAATCCACGCGAGACTCCAGGAGTCCACGTCTGTTCAATTTGCTCTTTTTCGCCTGTCCCCATCCCTCCCCCCCCTCGCGCCCAGAACCAAAGGGAACGCGTTCAGCGGGATCCACATCTGAGCGGCGAGAGGAGACGGGCCCTGCGCAAGATGGCATAGCGACCTTACGTGGTGGCTTACGCGGGCCTCCAGCGCGGCACGCTACCCTGGAAACGAGGGCGCACACCGGCGACCTTACAAAGGCAGGTTACGCGTGAATGTCCGCGCAATCCACCACCTTCCCTTCCGTCGTTCAAGTGAAAGAGCCGGTGGGGAGAGGAGAAGAGGTACAAGAGGACGAGAATACAATCAACACGCACGGTCCACTCATCGTGCTACCGTGAGGAACGCTGAATAATGAACGAAGGGGCTTTTCTGGCCACGGCGGGCCTAGGCCATAAACAGGTCTTACTACATACATCTAAGGAACGGCCTGAAATCCAGAGCCCCTCCTCAGCCCAAAGTGGTTATTATTCCAACGTTTTGACTGACGAGTGCAAGAGGACGGGCTTCGGAGGACTACGAAAACACTAGCACAGAGCGGGAACCAAACACGAGGCTACAGAGGAGAGCACACCTAAGCCACATATGTCCATCCTACTGACCGTCCTAGCACTCCCACAGGCCAACCCACAAATGTCCGTAGAACAAGAGACTGCTGTTATAACCCAAGCAATGCTCCATGAGCCAAAAATCTGATGTGTTAAGCCGACACGGTATCAGCCAGAAGTGTTCTGAGGTCATCTCGGGCAAATCCATATTCTTTGGTGAGCCTACGACGCAGAGATGGACGCTTCGCCACTGCTTTACACTTTCCCCAACAGGGGCTCCCAAAAGGGACGCAAAAACCGACCGACAACCTCGTGTAATCCTCGAGCCCCGACCCTCGATCGTGGACGCCGTCGGCAACTACCTGCTGAGGAGGGCAACGTCGGGCCATACCGCGGCTCTCTGGCGGCCGTTCGGGACGATCCGAGAAATCCCAGAACGCTCCCGGCGAGGCGCGGCCAGTGGAGAACATCACGAGGCTGAACAGCCGACGAGAACCCTCAAAAACAACCCAGAGCCTCGATCCTCGATCCCCCCGCACGCCTACCACCCCTTAGCCCTAGGCGTCCGACGATACGTTTTTCAATGTGCGGCTCCAGAGGTGGTCCCCCAGGGGTCGCGACCCATCCCCAAGGACCGGTTTTTCGTCCTGAGTCGTTTGCGACGGCCCCGAGGCCGGCAAGAGCCCCTGGAAGCAAATCAGCCACAGTGCCCCCTGGCACGTTGAGGCGTGCTAGAATGTCAAGTTCTGTTGTCTGGTAGGGTTTTGTAATCGTCTAAGGCGGGTCGCGTAGTGTCGCGTGCCTCGCCCATGCTCCCAGGGGGTCCCTGGGCGGCCATGGCGCCTCCCTGGGGCTCTCCAAGGCTTCCATGACGGCCAAGGAGGCCCCCAAGACGTCAAAAGAGGCCCCGTGTCGCCGAACGATCGATCAAAGACGCCCAAGATGGCCTCAAGATGGAGCAAGAGGCTTCCAAGGCGCCCCAAGAGGCATCCAAGAGGTCTCCCAAGAGGGCCCCCAAAGGCATAAGTGATTTATTTTCCTGTTACTTTCGAAGGAATTTGGCGTTCTCACCGTTTCTGCTTTCCGACGCTTCAAGAAGGCCCCAGATGCCCCCAAGACCACCCCAAAACGGCCCAAGACGGCCTAAGAGCGCCTCAAGACGGCCTAAGAGCGCCCCACGATGGCCCAAGAGGCGCCCAAGACGGCCCAAGAGGGCCCCAAGACGGCCCCAAAAGAAGCCCCAGGGAGGGAACACGAAACGAAAACCCGAGCCTTCCGCCCCGAGGGGCCCAAAGGTGCCCCCAGGAGGTCCCAAGATGCGCCAAGAGGCCCCCAAGAAGCCCCCAACAAGGCCCCCAGAGGCTCCAGGAGCCCCTAAGAGGCCCGCAAGAGGCCCCAAAAGGCCCCCAAGAGACCTCACACCTGCCTCAAAGAAGCACCCGAAAAGCCTCCCACGAGATCCAATACGCTTCTCTGGTGTCCCCTCGAAGGAGAGCCGCCGAGCATGCTGGGCTGGCACGGTGGCGGCACCTGCCGCAGGCTGCTGGAGAATAGCGGAAAACCTTCTGTCGTGATTTTGCTCAAGTCGCGAAGGGGGCCCGGGAACGTTGCCCCTGACACCCGCGGACCCGACCGCGGCGGCGCCTGCTGGCTCTGGCGCTGTCACTGGGCGCCTGCTGGGCCACAGCGGCAGCGGGATCGCGGGGGGCTGCGGCTGCCAGAGCTGCGCCGGGGGCGCGCGCCTGTGAGGGGAGGGCGGAGGGGGGGTACGAGGAGGTGGAGGAGGAGGAGGAGGAGGAGGAGGAGACATGAGGAGGAACAGGCCTGGGGCGAAAACGTGGCCCCTGGGAAAGGGTTTGGACCTCTGGGGCCGCGCATTGAACACAGTTCACCAGCCCTCTAGGCGCAGGTGGTTTAACGAGTTTTGCCTCCTTTCTGCCATAACCCCTTCTCCCTCTGCTCGGTAGAGGGGTTCACCCCATCCCCCTACCCCGTCCCCTGGGCCTGGGGGGGGCCGAGGGGGTACAGCGTCCAACAACTGGGACCCCGGTGCTCCATGGCGGGACACAGTCTTCATGCAGAAAGCCAGTTGGCGAGCACATTGCGCGAAGATGAAGAAGGACGTGCGTGGCTTATTTCAGGAGCTTGACAACGGCGGTCCAGGCTTGCATCCCTTCATCATGATGCGTGACACCGCGCGCGCTCTGGACCTCGGCGACGCCTTGCACGTTGCTGGCAATACATTGTTCCACATGTGCTACAGCGACATGTTCGAAGCATGCAACCCCGTGGCGGCATGCGCGTGGATTTGGAAATAGATTTCCAGAATCTGCAAGGCAGAGAACATCCCATCTCGTTTCACATATCTGGACTTGACCTTCTTCACGAACCCAGAGAAGCCAATGGAGAAGGCGCCGCTGCTCAAGGGCTACGCCGCGGAGACCAGACACCTGGCCCCAGTGCCCGACAAGATCTTCAAAGTGAAGCATGGGCCAACGAACAGGAACAAGAGTCTCATCAGCAAGATGCTCAGCAGCCTCACGATGATCTACAGGTTCCTCGAGACCAACGAGGGCGGGGCGCGGCCGTTCTTTCTTGACGCGAGCTCCGTCGTGGCTCCGCTGCGGCAGCACATCGACAGCATCTTGGCGGCCTACCAGCAGTGCCAGGAGATGGGGGAGATGTTGCATGACAGGGCGGACTTCTGGCACGAGGTCCCGAAGTCCCACGGGCTCTGGCACGTGGGCTACGAAGCGCAGTGCATGAACCCCGACGTGGCCAAGTGCTACATCACCGAGGACTTTCAGATGCGGATGAAGAGGTCGGGGGCGCCGGTTCGGCATGGGTCGGCTGCCGCCAAGCGTTCAATCAAGATTTGCAGGCAATGGGTTTACGGAACCCTATTTAAGATATTGTTCAGCGGCCTGCATGCCACCTAGCCTTGAATCTTGGCCAATCGCAGCCCGGCGTCTCTGCGCCATGGCAATGCCCCCGGTCGAGATGAGTCCATGCCCTCCAAGGCGCCCCCCGCATGTCACACCCCGCAGGGCCCTGCAAGGGCCCCAGGGCTCGTCCAGGGCTCCCCAGGCCAGCCCAGGAGCACAGCCCAGGACCTCAGATGCCCTCGCAGAAACAGTCACATTCTATAAAGTGTTACGCTTGCAGCCCTCACGCGTTGAACATGTGATAAAATGTTATCGGTCACGCGTTGAAAATGTAATAACATTTTGAGGCTATGGTTCAACATTTTACAACATGTTAAGCGGTTTAGCAGGGTTCTGCAACATGTTGTTAAGATGTTAGGGTGTCCTGCATCTGAAACACAACATTATGTTAACATGTTAAGGTGTAGCGCATCTGAAACACACCATGCTGATAACCTGCTGGATCAGGGGCAGCAAACATCTGACAGCATGCTGTGGACGATTGGCTACGATGTAACTATTTACATTTGCTGTTGGCAGCTGTCGCCCTGTTTGTTAACAAATTGCAAAATGTTGCGTCGTGCCTCCAGGCGGCCGAGCCGCCCCCCACTTGCCGCGAGCTCGCTGCGTGGCCTGGCGGGCAGGGGGGTGGCCGAGCCGACTGGCGAACGGGCGTAACAAGTTGCAAATTGTTTTGGGCCCTTCCGCCAACGCATGCTCGCCCGCCGCGTTTCTGACCCTCTGCCTCGTCAGACGTCGCGCTGGCGACTGCGTGTTCGGTCGGGGAGCTTTCCGCGAGACCGACGCGCCAGGCGTTGTCGCCTCGGCTGTCTTGGAGGCGGCCACCCCCTGGCAGGGTCGACCGACCCAGCGCGGCGAGCTCTTCGGCCCGCGGCAAAAACATTCCCCATTATCCTGGGAAGTCACCACGACCCCCGTGCAAAACACCAAAAAGATGACAACATACAAAAACACCGGATCCATACCCAAATCAGGGAACCCACAAGTTTATCAGCACACACAACTTAACGACGTACCTTGGCCTGCGTGGTGATTGCAGCGTCTCTTTCTCCTTGGTTTGCTGGCTTCTTTTTCCCAGACGTACTGTGGCATATTTGGCGAGGGCGTCGCCGTGGCCGCCAACGACGACTGCGACGACCATGGCGACGATTGGCGACGACGACGACGGTGGCTGGTTCGGTCCAACTCGACATTCGACCTGGTTTCGGCCTTCGCGAGTTGTTCGCCGCAACATGGCGCCCAATATGTCCGCGCCCAGGAAGCCCGCCGCTGCGGGGGCCCACGAACTGAAGCAGATCACGAAAAAGGGTGCGTCTCAAAGCCATGCAAGAAGCCCGCCGCTGTCGCGGCCGAGTCGGCAAGCCCTATGTCGCGGTCGACCGACGTGGAGATCGAAGGGCAGAACGCGACCATCACTCAGAAGGACTGCGCCCAGTTCAACGCCGCGAAGAGCACGGCGGAACCCGCGATCCTCGAGGACACACGCGCCAAGACCGACCTCGGCCATGGCCGGGGGCAGCAGCTGCAGCTCTACAAGAAAACTGCGGCTTGGAAGCTGAATGGGTGAGACGACCCGCTGTTCAAGGAGGTCATCCAGTACTCGGAAAGTATGCTGACGAAGCAGCGCAAACACGGCGCGTGGCCTTCGCGAGGGCGAAGCAGCACAGGGGGGGCGGCGGGGCTGAGGGAAGCCATCGAGAACAAGGAGCCATCGTCAAGATAATCGACGGCAAGGATTTGTATTTCGATTCCTCGATCATTGCCGATTTGACGAAGGAGCTCAAGGGTGGCAAACAGGTGAACGCCGGTGGCGCCATCGAGCTCGACAACTTGGGCCTCGCCCCCATGCAGATGTTCGTCGGCGACGCGAGCGCTGGCTTTGACTTGGGGAGGCGACGTCGGGATCTCGGACGACCTGATGAGGAGGCTCGAAGATGACGCGAACCACGCGCCATGCCCTGCCCGCAGGGCCGACGATGACGAGGCCGAGAGGAAGGACTTCGACGCGGCTGCGGATCGGGCCCGCGACGCGCTCATGAAACTCCGGGGCCTCCGCAACAAGATCACCCACCCCGTGGGGGAAACAAACGCGGGCTCGGAGGTTCGCAAGGGCAAAATCAAGAAGACCGTCGGCAAGGGCAAGCAGATCGACGAATTGATCAAGGGGTACCATGACCTCGTCAAAACCAAGTCCCCCCCCCTCCCCCCAGGCCTCTGCAAGACGACGGCCGAAAATATCAGTGAGAAAATCACGGTGGACAGCAAGGTCGGACACGCGGTCGTGGCGATGATTCGCCCTGACAACGAGCTGGGCGATAGAGGCTGCGCCAGGGTCTGCGTCGACACCGACAGCCGCGGCGCCATCGTGTCGCCGCGGATTCTGTAGATGCTGAATTCTGGCGAGCGCCACCGTCTCTCTGCGATTGTACCAGGCTGCGCGATGGTGCGTATTTCAGCTCGAGTTTCGCTATCGGGGTTCCCTCCCGCATTCAATTCGCGCTCATCGTGGGTCGAAGTGGACTGGCGTTTTCGCTTGTGGTGGGGCCCATCGTGTGACGTGGGTTGGTCGCTTGATCAGCTACCCGACTGACAGAGTGGAACGCCAAACGCACTCAGCGACGCTGCAATGCACCCTCGCGTCAGATGAAGTTAAACATGTTTCCTAGCCAGCCCCGATACCCAGTTAAACAACATTGCGTCGGTCGGGAAGGGGGGGCGGCCTGGGCCGCCGCCGCCCCGGCGCCCCATGGCCGCCGCCACTCCGACGCCCTTCGGCGCATTCCGAATGTTATGCGCATGTTCGCCGTGTTTTGCTTATTATTATTACTTTCTATCATTATTTGTTTTTTGTATAATGGCGCTTTCTGGGCGCAGCCGCTTTGGCGCCCAAGATGCATCGCGGATGCCGCTAGGCACCTTCGACGGGAGCTACGCCGCGGCCACCGCCACTCCGACGCCCCCCCCCGCCCCCGAGACGCGGTCAGCTTCAAGACGGCCCCAATAAGGCCCACGAGTACCCCCGAGAGGCACTTTGGAGAGGGCGTGGAGTGCGGTCGCCCACGGTGCTTCGCCGATGCTGCTATGCACCTTCACGCCGCGGCCACCGCCGCTCCGACGCTCGCCCCCGAGACGCCGCCAGCTGCGACGCAGCCCAAGGATGGCCCGCGAGTGCCCCCAATATGAAACCTGAGGAGCGCGCAGAGCGCCGCCGCCCACGGTGCATCAATGATGCCGCAACACCCTCGACCCTCATCCTGCAACGCACCCCGGTGCTGCAGCGCACCCCCGAGGGAGAAGGAGGCAGCGATGGCGACGACGACAACAATGACAGGAGTCAGCCGCCGAGGTCTGCGCGGATCTTTAGCTCTGAGAGCGTCTGCGGGAGACGCCGATTCACTCGCGGTCGCTCTGAGAGCGTCTGCGGGAGACACCGACTCAGTCGTGGGGGCACAGCGCGAGCGGTTCAGTCCTGGGAAGGAGGGGGGGGGGGCTCCTCCCTCCTCCCGCGTCCGCCCTCCATCCCCCTTCGCCCTCCTCCGCATCGCTCCTGCCTCCCCCTGCCCCCCCCCCCCCCACTTCGCGCGCCTTCCTCGCCCCCCCGCCCCCCCCATGCCTCCCCCTCCCCCCCCCCCCACCCGACCCCCCTCCTGGGGGCGCAGGGGGGGGGGGAGGGGGGGGGGGCGGTGGGGGGGGGTGGGGGGGGGAGAGGAGGGGGGGGGGGAGGGGGGGTGCGAGATGGGGGGGCGGGTGGCGGTGGTGGGAGGGGGGGGAGGGGCGGGGGGCGGGGTGGGCGGGGGGGGGGGGGCGGAAAAAGGGGGGTCGATGGCCGAGGGCGCGGGGGGAAGGGGGGTGCGGGGTAGGCGCGGAGGGGGAGCGCGAGGAGGAAGAAGGAGGAGGGGGGGAAGGGATGAAGGGATGGGGGAAGCGCGATGAGATGTCGCGTCCTTGTCTTTCTCCATGCCATTGTCGACGCGGGCGCCGCCCTTGCCCGCCTGCGAGAGAGGCGGCCGATGGCGAAGAGGGGGGCGGGGGGGGGCAGGGGGGGGGGCCGGGGGGAAGGGGGGAAGGGGGGGGGGGGCGCCGGGGGGGGCAGAGGAAGAGAGGAGGAGGAGGAGGGAGGAGGAGGAGGAGGAGGAGGAGGGGCCGGGAGGAGGTGGAGGTGAGGATCAGGAGGGGCAGGAGGAGGTGGAGGGGGAGGGCGGGATGGGGGGGGGGCGAGGATGGAGCAGGTGGAGACGTTTGATGATGATGGGCGTGGCGGGGCGATGCATGATGAGTCTAGCGACGAGGGGGGGCGGGGGGGGGGGGGGCGAGGGGGGCGGGCGCTGAGGCTCAGAAAGGGGGGGGGGGGGGAGGGGGCGATGATGATGCGGGCGAGCAGGGCTATGGAGATGGCGAGAATGACGATGGCGTGGATGGAGATAGCGAGGAGGGAGGACGAGGGTGTCGAGGTTGATGGGCGAGAAACACGATGCGGAAAGGATGCAGGTGACGCCGTTCGCGGCAATCACGACGATGGCGATGATGGGGGCGACGACGAGGATGACATGGATGACGACGTCGACGAGGCGCGCGGGGAGGGGGGGGCAGGATGCGAACGACGAGGTCAATGAGTCGGTCGCCCCGGGGGAGCGATGCTGACGATGATGGCGAGGGGGGGAGAAGGGGGAGGAGGGGGGGGGGGGGGGGGGGGGGGGAGGAGGAGGAGGAGGAAGAGGAGAGGGGACGGGGGGGGGGGGGGCGAGGGCCTTCGGTAGAGGAGGAGGACCTCCCCGCCCCTGCCCCTCTTCCCCCCCCCTCGCGCCCCTCCGCCTTGTCCTCGTCGTCCCCCTCGTCGTCATCATAGTCATCCATCCTTTCGCCATCCTCGCCATCGCCCCCCCCCGTCGCCCGCCCCATGCGCGCGCCCGCGGGGCCTGCTGCCAGCCCCCGCCAGAAGCAGGCAGCGCCAGACGCGGCTTGCTCGCTGCGTCGCGCCTACGAGGGGGCCCCAATCGTGCGCTTGCCCGCGCCCCGAGCCTCCTGGGCCGCAACAGCGTTAAAATCCGCTGGCCCCCCTGTGGGGCCACCAGGCTGTAGGAGCGAGGTTTGCAGTTTCCTGTGCCAGTTGTAGCTTGTAGTTTCCAGTGTTACAGTTCTGCTTCTTGTTGGTTACTGTAACTAAATGACTTATTGCTGGTTACTGCAACTAATTGATTGACCGCGTGAGAAGGGGGGGAGGGGGGGGGGGGTGGGGGGGGGGGCAAACCGGCTTTTTAGCACCCCCTGGGGAGGTTGTCTGAATTGCTGGGGGGGCTCGAAATCGCCACCCCCCACGCAGATCCGCGGGGTCAGGGCCCAATAACACAAGGGATTTGCAACATTTCTAAATTCGGTGCCACCCCTCGCGCAGATCCGCGGGGCCAGGGTCAAAAAACACATAAAGGATTTGCCGCATTTCTAAAATTCGGTGCCACCCCTCATGCAGATCCGCGGGTTCAGGGTCCAAAAACACAAGGGATTTGCCACGTGTCTGAAATTCGGCGCCGCCCCTCGCGCAGATCCGCGGGGTCAGGGTCCAAAAACACAAGGGATTTGCCACATTTCTGAAACTCGGTGCCACCCCTCACGCAGATCCGCGGGGTCAGGGTCCAATAACACAATGGATTTGCAACATTTCTGAAATTCGGTGCCACCCCTCACGCAGATCCGCGGGGTCAGGGTCCAATAACACAAGGGATTTGCAACATTTCTGAAATTCGGTGCCACCCCTCACGCAGATCCACGGGGTCAGGGTCCAAAAACACAAGGGATTTGCCACATTTCTGAAATTCGGCGCCACCCCTTATTCAGATCCGCGGGGTCAGGGTCCAAAAACACATGGGATGTGCCACATTTCTGAAATTCGGTGCCACCGTTCGCGCACGTCCATCGCAAGGCGTGGTAACCCAAACTGCGAGAACTCCCTCGGCCCTTTAATCGCAAGGTGCGGTAACCAAGCCCGTAAACCATGCACGTCTTACCAATCGCCAGGTGTGGCGACCCCTCTTGTGATCAGTTGGTTTTGCTGATTGCAAATCGGCTTCGCATGCAGTTTCGATACTGCTTCACGACAGCGCCAAGGCCTCATGGCATAGCTTCCATGGCCCACTCTCCGAGAGAGGGGGCCGGCGGCAGGGGGCGAAGCCCTTGCGGATAATGCTCGTCACGGGCGTTGCCCGCCCTCAGCCGGAACGGCCGCGCTTTCTCCATCGCGTGGGCCATGGGCCTCCGGGGCGCGTCCCAACGTTTGGACAAGTTCTCCGTCTTTCGCGCGGGTTCGGTGCATGATAGGGACGCGAGCTCCGCGTCCTCGGGCGAGCTGTAGCAGGGTCCACGGCGCACCCCGCGCCGCAGCCGCTGCCTGCGAGCCGCTCCCCCGCCTGCGATGGGCGCGCGCTGCCGCGGATGCTGCTGCCGCAGGGCTGGCCGTCGTACTGGCTCTCGCTGAGCGACAGCTACGTGCAGGCCGAGCTGTAGTCGTTGCCATGGTCGGCGACCTATGGCTGCTGCGTGTTGGCCACGTCCTCATCGTCGTAGGCCGAGCTGTATTCGTCACGGTCGGCGGCCTCTGGCTGCTGCGCGTTGGGCCGGTCGTCGCAATAAGGCTGCTGGCTGCCGTCGGGCTGATGCGCGCTGGGCTGGTCGTCGTCATGCGGCTGCTGGCTGCCGTTGGGCTGCTGCGTGCTGGGCTGGTCGTCGCCATGCGGCTGCTGGCTGCCGCTGGGCTGCTGCGCGCTGGGCTGGTCGTCGTGGACATGGCTGCTGTTGCCCAGCGGCCGCTGCGCGCTGGGCGGGCCGACGCCGCGGGCCAGCATGTCGACGGCTGCGCCGTCGATTTAAATGATCGTTTCCGGACTGTCCTCGCCCGCGTCGATGGGCCGCGGCGGCTGGGTCGCCTCCTCGAGCGGCGGCGGCGCCGCCGCCGCCGAACCCGACGCCGAGCCTGACGCCGCAACCGCTGCAGGCGTGCGCGCGCGGCAGTCGGGCTGCTCTGCCTTCGCCGAGATCCTGCGACGCTTTTTGCGGCGATCATTACCGCCCAGCCATCCCGCCCCACGTCCTGGATCGGGTGGTCCATCGTTGAGCTCGACGGCCTCGCGTGGAGCGTCGCCAGCAGAGTCGCGAACCTCACGCTCAGCTCGCCGTCGCCCCAGATCTGTTCGAGCAAGTCTTGGTCCGCTCCGCTGCAGTCGGTGGAGACGTTGCGTCGAACGAGGCCGATGATCTGGTCGGGCGCCCGCCCCAGCAGCGGTTCGCGGGGGGCGGCCGCCGCGGCGACCGAGCGCCGCGGCACGAAGGGGGCGGGCATCGCGATGCCAGGGCGAAGGAACACGAAGGTCATCGCGATGCCAAGTTATGGATATG